CCCCCCCCCCCCCCCCACCCTTGGAAGAATCTGGCTACGGGCCTGTTAAATATCATATGTTGTGCATACAGCAATAATGAAAATTGGAATAAAACATTGTTACAATCAGAGACCTGTATCGAGGTGGCGAATGAAAACCAATGGCGGCGTCGTGATTTCCCGGTGGGGGTTGGGGAGGCTGGGGTTGTTGTCTTCGCAGAGAAAAATGTAGGCGTGGTTTTAGGGGTTTCAAAAGCTTATTTATTCGATTTTAGAGTCTATTAATATGTACATGTAATACATGTAATTTCTTTGAATTTCTTTTCTCCCCGACGAATTGTGGTTTTTCTCCCCGACGGGTGGGGGGGGGAGGCCTCCCCGACGGGGGTGGGGACTGTAGCACCCCTTCCCCGTAGCGCCGCCACTGACGAAAACACTATAATTTATTACAATATTGTTTGGGATATTATCAGGGATGATTGTAAATTAACTCTTTTCCGTTATAATCTCCCTGCTGTGCGACCACTACCTCTCTCCCACTCTCACATTTGGTGCCGTTTTTTCTCCCTATCTAATCAGTGCATCTAATCAACCTATATAGATCAATAATTTAATCATTTAATCATTTATCTTACTATATTTTGTTTCAAGTGGCCCAGAGACTGCGTCAATCAGCAACAGTATGCCATAACAACAAAAGTGGTGCCCACTGACCCTGAAGCATACAGCGCGGATCATGATTAAAGTCTAAAATACAAGAAGTCTAAAATACAAGACGTCTATCCATGGACCTATTAATAGGTCCATGGTCTAACTCTAGAGGGTGAATTGTATAATAATTGAATTATATCATACATATTATATTCCGGAAAGGAAATGCCAAGGTTAACTTGGAAATAATTCAATAACTAAAGAGTATAGCCTACAAGTATAGCCTACAAGTCATAATGTTGAAAGACCGGAAATACAAATCCTTGAGTATGACATGACCTACATTGAGTTAAAAAATATGTCACATAATTATTAAAAAAAACAAAAAAACAACAGTTTTAAATTAATTACAGACATTTCACTACTAAAATCATTAAATTTCCTGATAGCAATTTAAGGTGCATTGTCTATAATAAATTATTGAACCTTCATTACTTGGCGGGAATAACAATTCTCATTCAGCTAGTACAATTAAAATATTCCTCAATTGTTAAGCAATTCATTTTTTTTTCGGGTTTGTATTGATTTAGGGTGCAGTGTAGCTTTAATATACTGTATGGAGTTACAGACTGGTAATAAGCATAATAAAGGAGTCAAGAAATATCGTCGCTCAACTAACACAATAATACGCGCTGTTGTTTTTAAGGACTTCTTGTGTGGTAAAGAATACAAAGTTGCTTGACAACCAATACGCGCTCGTTTTGACGTGCTACTGTGATTTCACGAACTAACACAATCTACTTTGATTGTGTTAGTTCGTGATGTGAGCGACGATATAAGGGCTACCGGTACGTCTACTTGCAGAAATATTGTAGTTATAGTAGTCCGCCCTTTGCTATGTACAGTTACGGTTCGCCTTTCTTTCTCTCTCGTTTTATTTAATTCAATACCTTCAATTCATTTTCCTTTCCTTTCATTTCTTTTGTTTTCTTTCCTTTTATTTTATTTTCCTTCTTTCTTTTCCTTTCTTTTTTCTGTTCTTTCTTTCGTTTACTTCCGTTATTTTCTTTCCTTTCCCTTCTTTCAATTTCTTTCATTTTTCCTTTCCTTTCATTTTACCTTTTCCTTCTTTTTTTTCCTTTCATTTCATTTTCACTTTTCCAAATATTTAGGGGGACAGGGTATCTTTAATATAACTTTATGGACCCGTCTTACCATTATGAGTCAATAAGTTCGCAATAGGTAGACTAAATATAATTATAATCATGCTGCCTCTACTTGCAGTGTCATAATTATATTAGTCCATCGCTTTGCTTTGTACAGACAGGTACAACCTAACCGCAATCCCTTCCAATATGGTTCTTCCATGACGTTAACTTTATTTATGTAAAAATACATACAGGATAATACATCCAACCAGATAGCTATATGCAAGGTTGTGAATTCTGATTTATAGTGTGGAACAACGAGAATGGGAAATAATACAAGACTGTTTATAATAATAATTTATTGGTTCACTCTTTTGAAAAAGAGGAACACTCTCACGCAGGAGAGGTTCGACCATACAGCAACAATAGTTACAAAGTAAAGATAAAATTCATAAAAAGTGATAATAATAATGAAATAAAAATATTTCAAATGCAATAATAATAACAATAATAGTTATAGTAATAATAATAATCATAATAATAATGATAATAATAATGATAATAATAATGATGATAATAATAATATTATTATTAATGTTATTATTATTATAATTATTATTATTATTATACTACAGTATGCATACACATGTATAAAAAACTAAAATGACGAAAGAAAAGAAAAAAAACCCCGTATACATAATGTATAGGCAGTGTATAATGGATGCGTAAACATCATTACACTACAGCGGTATTTGCATATGCATATCCTCATTTTTTAAAAGAACACACAAAAGAAAAACGTACACGTAATACATAGGCAATGTATAATGGATGCGTAAACATCAAATACGGTACACTACAGAAGTATAGAGAAAGAAGAGAATTCCACTCTTGGTTTAATTTTTGATAAATGTATTAAAAATATCTAAAAGATATTTCTAAAAGTTTAAAGACGAATGGGTTAAGTATTATAATAATCTGAAGAACACTTCAGTTATTAAAGAGCATTAGGCCTTACGTTTTATGAAAACAATTAAAAAAAAATAGGCCTGCAGGTTTAACAACAGTTTTTGACCACGTGTTTATTTACGCCATTGTTTTTTTTAAGTAGGGTTTTTCTTCCAGGCACACAGTGGAACTATTGCATAATTATAGCCGTGACCTTTCCTTTACCTCGAAAATATAATTAAGGTATGGCCTTCAGACCCCATGTCGGCAATGTAGGTACTAGATTGTACCGTACTCCAGCGGAAACCGGATAAGAATGAGGATACACCCATTGGTAAAAGGATGTAGCTTAGTTATTCAACAGACAATATTCATTATCAGCAAGGGAGTTTGTGTGGGAAGAAAATAATATGCCTACAATTTAAAATGGAATTGATAACGAAGTGGTTCTGGATGACAATTAGATTACTAGTTGTTGTTTTTATATTGAAATGTAATGCCGATGGTAAGTAATTTCTTGTTTTTTGTTTGTTTTTTTTTTTTTCGAATGCCAATGGACAACAAATTTTCCGAACATGGAGCTCCATGCTATAACGTTTCTTCTTCCTTGGACTTCAGTATTCAAAAGCAATTCTCGTATTTTAATTTGGTTTTTATTTACAGTATTTTTCAACTTCTTCATTAGGCAGATAGAATATATAATATTTACGAAGAGATCTCGATGATGGGGAAAAACCAACAATCTAGGCCAATACAGAATGTAAAACTCTGTTGTTCACACATGTAATTGTAAATTAGGACTTCGGTCTCCTAGCATAGGATAGGCCTACTTAGCAGTGACGTCCTAGTCTAGGCCACAGTCCATCATTCCCCTACCGATGGACCACTCATGTCGGCCCCACAATGGTTAGGACTGAGTAAGGTTATAGATTGTTACCTCTGATGCTGTAAAATGGTTCTTCATGCTGTTCTGTCCATTTCTTGATGTTGTCACACCGGTTCGTGCGCTGTCTACCACGTCTGCGTCGGCCGGGCTTAGATTCACAGTCAAAACTATCCTTCAATCTGCCGCGGGCCGAAGGGTTTCTATGAAGAACACAACTAGACGAGGCGCACGCAAAGGAATCATTTTCAGGGGTAGATCCAGTTGGGGGTTGGCAAAACCGCTTCAACACCCCCCACCCCCCACCGTTTTGAAACTAAATGTTAACATTTCAATGCATATATTAAAATAGCACTACTACTCATCTATTCTGAATATTTTGTTCCCCACCACTTCCCCCACCCGTTTGAAAAATTCTGGATCCCCCTGATTTTAAAAGATGATCAGCTCAGTCGAACGACGCATTTTGCGCCCGGCTTAGTCTGTGATCGTATGATCACTGACCAGATTATCAGATACTCTGCATAATACAATATAGAGTATACCGACACGCGCGTGGTTAAAACGACTGCTCATTTTCTTTAAGATTTCCACAAAATTATTGCAGGATGCGCAGACGATGGGTCAGAATTCACATGTAAGAATGGCAGCTGTATAACTAGTGATAAAGTTTGTGATGGCAACGAAGACTGTTTAAGTGGAACAGATGAATTGGACTGCCCATCACCTAATTGCCTAGAATCAGAGTATGCATGCCCAGAAGGATGCATTCCTACCAGGTAGGTTTTATGTTCATGGTGACACCAGAGACGTATAATCCATTTACACCAACCAAACCAAACGACTGTTTGAGCGTCATTCAAACAAATGTAGTCCTGAATAAAGTATTAATAATTTTCTTGGTTTTTTCATGTATGACGTACGGTACTGTACTGAATGCTACCGGATTTTTTAGTTTCGAACGTACCTAAAAATATTCCAAGGTAAAATATTTCTATGCAGTCCTTTAAAACTAATCTAATGAATGGTTTAATTACTGACCCTGAGGAGACCTACCGGTACATAGATTAATCCATGATTCTTAATTGGCCTCGACTGACATTAGATACGGCATACGCAGTTCAAACTACGAGTTGGATTATAGGCCTACATATCGAAATGATCACAACACAGCACTAATCATAAAATTAGTCATCAATCCGTTCAACATAGGTCTGTTCTGTTTTAACTTTACTTATTGTTTCCCTTAGTTTCCAGTGTGACGGGGACAATGATTGCAGCGACGGTTCGGACGAGCTTGGTTGCAACATTGACATCTGCTCGTTAGACCAATTCCAGTGCAATGGCGGAAAATGCATCCCACAACGCTGGGAATGTGATGGAACTGATGACTGTGGAGATGGATCTGATGAAGAAGACTGTGGTAATCAGAGTTGCCTCTCCTTCCAGTTCCAATGTAGCCATGGTAAATGCATCCCAGAAGCTTGGCGATGCGACGACTCTCCAGATTGTACTGATGGCTCAGATGAAGTCGACTGCGCTCCTCAAACATGTTCACCAGAACAATTTCAGTGCGAAAATGGTGAATGTATACCAGTAGATTGGAAATGCGATCGTTTTGATGACTGCGGCGATAATTCAGATGAAGTCGACTGCGCTCCTCCTCCAACATGCTCTCCTAACCAATTCCAGTGTAGTAACGGTGAATGTAGACCAATAATCTGGAAGTGCGACCGTACCGATGACTGTGGTGATAACTCTGATGAGGTTGACTGCGTTTACACAACATGCTCACCTGAACAATTTAAATGTAGCAATGGTAACTGTATACCAGCAGATTGGAAATGCAACGGTACCGATAACTGTGGAGACGGCTCAGATGAGGTCAACTGCGCTCCCTCAACATGTCCACCAGGAGAGTTCCAATGCGGTAATGGTAAATGTATATCGATACTTTGGAAATGCGATCGTACTGATGATTGTGGTGATAACTCAGATGAGGATGACTGCACATACACAACATGCTCACCTGAACAATTTAAATGTAGCAATGGTAATTGTATACCAGAAGATTGGAAATGCAACTATGTTGATGATTGTGGTGATGGCTCAGACGAAGTTGGCTGTCCTCCTCCGTGTGAAACAGATGAGTTTCAATGTAAAAATCATAAATGCATACCAGCACGTTGGAAATGCGATGGTACTGATGACTGTGGCGATGACTCAGATGAGTTTGACTGCCCTACATCCACATGCTCATCTGGACAATTTCATTGTAGTAATGGCAATTGTATACCTATTGGTTGGAAATGTGATCTTGCCGACGATTGTGGTGATAACTCAGATGAGGTCTACTGTGCTCCTCAGATGAGGTCTACATGCTCACCTGAGCAATTCCAGTGTAGTGACGGTGATTGTATACCAGTTGGCTGGAAATGTGATGGCACTGGCGACTGTGAGGATACCTCAGATGAAGTCGGCTGTACTCTTCCAACATGCTCATCTGGACAATTCGAATGTGACAATGGTAACTGTATACCAGAACGCTGGAGATGCGACGGTACTGATGACTGTGGAGATAACTCAGATGAGGTCGACTGTGCCCCTTCAACATGCTCATCTGGACAATTCCAATGTGATAATGGTAAATGCATATCAACAGGTTGGAAATGCGATCGTACTGATGACTGTGGCGATAACTCAGATGAGGTCGACTGTGCTACTCCAACATGCTCATCTGGACAATTCCAATGTGATAATGGTAAATGCATACCAACACGTTGGAAATGCGACGGTACTGATGACTGTGGAGATAACTCAGATGAGGTCGACTGCGCCCCTTCAACATGCTCATCTGGACAATTCCAATGTGATAATGGTAAATGCATATCAACAGGTTGGAAATGCGATCGTACTGATGACTGTGGCGATAACTCAGATGAGGTCGACTGTGCTACTCCAACATGCTCATCTGGACAATTCCAATGTGATAATGGTAAATGCATACCAACAGGTTGGAAATGCGATCGTACTGATGACTGTGGCGATAACTCAGATGAGGTCGACTGCGCTCCTCCAACATGCTCATCTGGACAATTCCAATGTGATAATGGTAAATGCATACCAACAGGTTGGAAATGCGATCGTACTGATGACTGTGGCGATAACTCAGATGAGGTCGACTGCGCTGTTCCAACATGCTCATCTGGACAATTCCAATGTGATAATGGTAAATGCATACCAACACGTTGGAAATGCGATCGTACTGATGACTGTGGCGATAACTCAGATGAGGTCGACTGTGCTGCTCCAACATGCTCATCTGGACAATTCCAATGTGATAATGGGAAATGCATACCAACCCGCTGGAAATGCGATCGTACTGATGACTGTGGCGATAACTCAGATGAGGTCGACTGCACTCCTCCAACATGCTCATCTGGACAATTCCATTGTGATAATGGTAAATGCATACCAACAGGTTGGAAATGCGATCGTACTGATGACTGTGGCGATAACTCAGATGAGGTCGACTGTGCTGCTCCAACATGCTCATCTGGACAATTCCAATGTGATAATGGTAAATGCATACCAACAGGTTGGAAATGCGATGGTGCTGATGACTGTGGTGACGGCTCAGATGAGGTCGACTGCCCACTTCCAACGGATGAGAATGCTATAGTTTGTAAGTAACTCACCTTGACAAAAACATGACTAAATATGGTCAACATCATGACCATATATAGGTACTGTACATCATGACTATATATGTGCATACATTAGTTTGTCAAAGACAATTTCATACAGTAGTATGGGCAGAGTCTTAGGATTTTCTCTCCCCACCCCCCGCCACTTGTATTTGTAGGACACACATATTCATATTTCCAAAGATACTAGAAATACAAGATAGAGTTCTCCACACAAAAAAAAGTGTTCCACCGAAATGCATGGTGGGAATACGAACAATGGGACGCCCCTTACGGCTGGATCTAAAAATACTTCAACCAAACTTTCGTTACCAAGTCGTCGCGTATTTTATTGTCAATTCTCAATTAAAAAATTGTACACAATTGTACAATTAGTACAATTGTACCCAGACAGTGACAACCGTGAATACATAATTCCTTGGCATTTGAAGCGTTCTGGGCTATCATTTTTTTCTTTCTTTTTCTTTCTTTTTTTTTCTTTACCTCCCAAAAAAGGGGGGTGGGGCCGGGGCGCCCCCCCCCTAAATTGGCCCCTGTGATGTACTGGACGCAGGATTAATATCCCCTATGTCCAGAATTTATCTAGTCTATTCTCGAACACATAGCGAGAGGGAGCTGTTACAACTTCATTTGGTTGTGCATTCCAATTGTCTACAATGCGATTGCCAAAGGAAAACCTTCTAAAGTCCACACGGGAAAGTCGCTTTAGCAGATTAAGAGAGTGTCCTATCATGATTGGTCAGTTTGTTATGTTTGATTGACACTCTGGAAAGTCAATTATTCTTTCCGGAGTGTCAATCAAACTTAACAACTGACCAATCAGAACAACGCTAGGAATGCGCGCCGTCTTACAAACACACGTGTTGTCCCACAAACGCACGTGTTCGCGTATGTTTTAACACTGCCGTCTTGTGGGACCTTAGCAACAATATCCAAGGGGCGGAGCTTAGCGGAAAGGTCCATTAACCTGAAATATACTTCATTGTTCTACTTTTTAATTCTAAGATAATAATTTATTTGTATTTAATTGTTTAGCTGAAGACAGGTCCTACATCAGGGTTCTCAGTAAAAAGTAGAATAGAGGTTAAATTTTTTAGGAACTTCTATACAAATATAGTATTAATATTTATGGAACATTTCTTAATGCAACTTAACCCCGATGAGAACCGTACTAGCGTAGATTATCGGTCGATCTAAAATTTAAATGTTTGATTTATGTTTCTTTCCACAGACCAGTGCCAAGTGGAGAATGGTGGTTGCGCAGATATTTGTGTAGCTTCGTCCAATACAACTGTCTCGTGTGACTGCTCCATTGGGTTTAAATTGGGCAAAGATGGAAAGTCATGTGACCAGGATACGTCGTGTAAAGAGGCTGGTTATCAATGTAGCCAACTTTGTGAAGATGTGCAGGGTGAGATCAAGTGCACATGCGTTGATGGTTATAAACTAGGTGGGGACAATCGCTCCTGCTCTGCTGACAGTGATGTGACTCCAAGATTATTGGTAGCTGCAAATTATCACAATATATCTGAATATGAAATTATGAACGGTACATTAACTCTAACCAAAAGTAAGGCTTTAGTAGAATATAGCCCTAATATTGTTGCGATTGATTACAATCTACGACAGAATCGTATCTATTGGAGTGACGCTACAGAGAAAGTTATCTATCGGTACGTTTTCATTGAAAATAGGGAACTTTCGATTTGGGCGACGACGCGACGTTTGAACGGATTTACTCATGCGTGATTCTGCTATGTTCTCTGCACAAACGTAGCAAGATTAGACCAAATTGCAACCTAGAATCCCACTCATTTCTATTACAGTAGAAATTAGTGAGGAAAAAATGACAATTTATGTCGGCCCGCCGCTGGTCTCAACAGCTTGGAAATGGCCCCAGCATAAAAAGTTGAATACCTGGGTACGCCCTTACCGCGTCGTGCAATCGAAAGCTACCTGTTAATTACTAATAATTCATCTGCATGATTATATTTAATGCTATACGTGTATATTAAAAGCATGAATATCTTAGATAATAAATTTCTTTTAAACTATTTTATATGGTAATTTATTATTTTTTGTCTTTGCTATGTGTTTTTTTTAAATGTAAAACTTGTATGTGAAGTGACAAAACAAAAGAAACGAAACGAATATATATAGTTCTCGTCGTCAACATTATCATCATCGCTTGTATCATCATTGCCTTTTCATTTCAGATCGTCACTCGATTTAGATAAAATCTCAGATAGGGAAATTGTAGCAAATACGTCCGGGTCCTGTGACGGCATTGCCATTGATTGGATACACAATAATATGTACTATACTGTAGAGGAGGAATACACAGATGATGACGTCATTAGAGTGGTGGATCTTGACAGTTTGCTGGGAGTGACACTGGTATCTAGTGGTTTATCCGAAACAAGAGCGATTGTTGTACACGCAGGAATTGGGTATGTCGGTAATTTTTCTCTGACCACCACTGCGATGACTACCCCGTACGATCGAAACGAGATGTTAGAGAATAACCTCATTCCCCATGTTATAATTTACCCATGGCATTTGACATTAGATGGACAGGATGGACTTTCCTTTTTATTTTTTAACTAGGATAATATTAGTAGATTAACTTATATAGTAGGTTTTTATTAAGGCCAACTCAGACAGCGTCGGCCGACGCAGCCCGACCCGATTTATCGTCGGGGACAGTCTTAAGCCGTCGTGAGAAATATTAAACATGTTTAATATTCCACGACGCGACTGCCCCCGACGCAAACCATCGCGTCTGCGTTTAACTCACACAGACCCGACGCGACAACAAATCGCGTCGGGCTGCGTCGTGCGACGCTGTCTGAGTTGGCCTTTAGAGTGCTTGGTTTCGATCCGGGGGGTTTTTGTTCAATTCTGAAGATTTTGCACTCAAAAACAAAACTATAAGAACCATCATCAACGCCATCAAGGAATTTAAAGTATTGATATCGGATATGTTTCCATTCGAATAACACTGCAATTTTAATAGAATGTAATTACAATGTGAATTTCCTTGATAGCAAACCGATTTCTAGTAACATTTATATTGTGTCAACAGGTATTTATTCTGGACAGACTGGGGAACTGGCATCATTGAAAAAGCTGGAATGGACGGTTCATATCGGCAGACAATCGTTAAGGATCTCATCTGGCCGAACGGCTTAACGATAGACTTTCCAGCATCCACTCTTTACTGGATTGATGCCAAACTGGACATCATCCAAGTTAGCGATTTTTATGGCGATAATATACAGACAATATACTCCTCGACAACTATGATTAGCCATCCATTCGCAATAACTGTCTTCGCAGATACTCTGTACTGGACTGATTGGTCAATCGACGGTATTGTTGTAGCAAACAAACTTGATCCCACGTCAACTGTTACGTCATTCCCTATCAATCAACCAAAAGGTTTGACTATTGTCCATCCTCTTCAACAACCAGGTATGTCTACTTATTTTGTGTCAGTTTCAAATGATAGTATTATTTTTTTTAGATTCTCCGACATACCTTTTTTTGCCACAAATGATTACATTACACCTGTATGAGATCTGAGCCAACTATTTATGAGAAAGTGAGCTAATTAATTGGTTGTGCACAAATGTTTTGAGATACATATTATAATTGTGTGTGGCGCAAAGGATTTTTTTTTTGTATGGGCCGACGCATTTCTATGATGATTGCAGCGTGAAGAGGTCGAGGTGTGCACAACGAATCGTTTTTATCGACGATCCACCCAGACTGCAACGACAATCAGCTGACGGCGGCGTTGCGTCGTCGAGCACTCACACGAAGCTGAGATGCTTTCGTCGGCCGGTGGTCTGACGACGGCGTTGGCTGGTGCAGTGTGTGCGCCAGGCTTTTAACCGCGGTACAAAAGGATGGTTTCCGTAAAATGTTGATAAAAGAAAAGGTACCATAGTTATTAATGATGTGCTATGACATATAAATTAAAGTAAACTTAATTATTTTGTTATTCTTTATGTTGTTTAATCATATTTTGCACTGCAGAATTTGAATATATTTGTGGCAAATGTGCCGAAAACCGAATTTGTCTTCCAACCCCAGCCAACATATCGTCCTCATCATTCGTCTGCAGATGTACAGACGGTGAAAACTGTGAAGACACAGAGATTGGTAAGGAAAAATGTATGCAATTTACTGAATACATAAGATAACATGCTACAACTCCCATAAAATACCAATACTGTATTGTGTTTTTTTTTTATTATTCTTTAATCAATTTTTATAGAGATACAAAATGTTAACACCTCATTAACACCTCTAAACCATAGTAAGTAAATCATTCATCTCCATCCTCCCAACCGACTACATCTTTCTCAATTCCGTAGTTGTTTCTGAAATTTTTGTAATAGACAAACGACGGAAATTTATCAATAGCATATGGGTCTACACGTTTTGTCTAACGCCCAGGACAACATTTTTCCCATCAGAACCTTTTGGCTACATTGTCCATAAGGACCCTAGATCATAGACTTGTCAGATTACTGACAGATTATTGTAAAACTCAAGAAAGGTGACCCATAAATCTTCATCTTGTCCACTTTGTTTGAAATTCCACGACTGTGGTTCTGTACCTGCAACATTTTTCCCATCAGAACCTTTTGGCTAAATTGTCCATAAGGACCCTAGATCATAGACTTGTCAGATTACTGACAAATTATTGTAAAACTCAAGAAAAGTGACCCATAAATCTTCATCTTGTCCACTTTGTTTGAAATTCCAATTCTGTACCTGCAATTTTGATCAAACCTACACTCAAGGAAAATTATTAGGTACAAATCTGAAGACATAAGTTACGGAAATGCATTTTACTAACTTCAGAAGTCTGCCAATATGAAATATTGTTTATGTTGAATGAATATGAACTTTGAAAGTTTCTTCTATAGATCCATGCAAAGTTGACAATGGTGGCTGCGCAGATACCTGTATAGCGTCATCTCATAGAATTGTTTCATGTCTCTGCTCTGATGGGTTTGAATTGAGCGCAGATGGAAAATCATGTGACAAAGTTAAGTCGTGTAAGGAGTTGGATTATTATTGTAGCCAACTATGTGAAGATGCGACGGGCGTGGTTAAGTGCGCATGCGCTGATGGTTACCAACTGGCCAATGACAATCGTTCATGCCTTGCAGACAGTGACGTAGATCCAAAGTTATTGGTCGTTGCAGGTAAACATATCATATCGCAATACTCAGATGTAAAAGGAACTTTTATCGGACATTACTATACAATAAAAAACAGGACTGTAGAAGGAAATAAAATTACTGTGGTAAATTACAATCTTCGAAAGAATCAAATGTACTGGAGTGATATATCAAAGGAGGTTATATATAGGTAAGTTATAAATTATTATCATCCTTATCGTCATCGTTTTGAATAGCGTAGTGGTTAAGATGCTTGCTTTTTAATCCTGGGCCATGGCTTAGTTCTTGTAAGGGCAGGACTTTTTCTCACGACTCGAAACAACTCCACTGAGGCTCATAAAGAGAATTTGCTGATAAAAGCATCACATTATTTATTTTAAAGGGCCCTGATTATCAGCCGACCATTTAGGATATGCTTTTAGGGTCACTCTATAAATATGGTTAAACAAAGAAAATCCATCAGTTTACAATCTGTCAGGCATAATTTACCTCGACAGTGTTTAACCACTCGTAAGTTAAGCCACAACCCTTCAGGGTGAAACTGGCCCAAATGTAATGTAATATCGGTTCTCAGGAGAAAAAAATTATTACATCAACATAATATTTGTAAAATGGTTAAGTGTATCTGCAATACCACTCTGCCGTTAGCAAGTAATAATAATTTAATAATAATAATTTCAGGTCGTCACTTGATTTTAATGACAACTCAGACGCAGAAATTATAACGGATAGATCCGGAGCTTGTGATGGTATTGCTGTTGATTGGATACACAATAATCTGTACTACACAGACATTGACAATGACATTATAAGAGTGGTGGATCTTGACAGCTTGCTAGAAGTGACACTGGTATATGGTGATTTATCTGATCCAAGAGCGATTGTTGTACATCCAGGAATTATGTAATTATTCAGTTCATTAAAATACATCACGGTAGTTTAGTGCAGATGAATGCGATAGTACTTTTTAAAATTACAATTTTCAATAATATATATACGTATATATACATATTATATATATATGTATATATATATACATATATATAATATATATAATATATATATATTTATGTATACATATATATGTATATATATGTATATGTATATATATATAAGGCTTTGAAACTAAC